GAGACAGTCCATGTGGCAGCAACTCATCGACTCCGAAACTCAAAAATATACTTCGCCTACCATGCCACAGGCCGAGCAAGAAGGTCTGCAGCCTTTGCAAGATTGGCTCGTGGCCATCGCCAACGATCAAATTGCATGCATCGATGACCAAGAAGACCAGGGGCAAATCTCCTACCTCACGACCTTCAGACGCGAATACGAAACGATAGTCACGCCGGCGTACGCACTATCATCAAACATCGAGCTCGACACTTTGCGCGACGGCTATGTCGATCTCGGCACACATTGTATATCCCTCTTCACAAATCTCATCTTCTCGGTTGACTTCCGCGGCATCCTTTCCGAGTTCTTCACTCCTGCTTGGTACAACAAGAAAGCAATGGCCCAGATAATATCGACCTTTGAAGATTACTTGGCCGATTACTCTGATGTCTTACACCCTTCTCTGAGAGACGTTCTCGTCGAAGAGCTTGCCGACGAACTGCTTGTCCGTTACCTTTCAGCCATTCGTAATCGGGGAGTCAAGTTCCGACGTGGTGATCCCTTCAATGAGAAGATCAAAGACGACGTCTTGACCGTGTTCAACTTCTTCTCCACTCAAGAGGCATCTTTCCCTGCCATAAAAGACAAATGGAGGGCTGTAAACGCCTTTGTCGAGCTTCTCAACGCCGAGAAGGGGCCCGCAGTCGCAGATGCATATGAACAGTTCAAGCGAGAGAATTGGGACCTGCAGATTGGCTGGGTCGAGGCTGTTTTGAGAACCCGTGACGATTGTGACAGATCCTTGATAGGACTCGTCAAGGCGCGGGCTGCCGAAGTCGAAGTTGAACGAGGAATGGAGACGGTCATGAGCAAAGTGAGATGATAATGACAAAGTTACTTGGTTGTTCTTTAATGGCACTGCGTTCGGCGCGGAGGCTTGCATTTAGTTTTGGTTCCTGCATGGATTTCTGCACACCTGTTTATTGGTGGTAGCGAGGCGTTCTTACAGATGAGGTCTAAGAGAGATACCCGGTTTGATTAGAGACTCTCGATATAACAAGGGGGAGGTACTATGATGTGCTGTCGGACATTGTTGCTATTTAACCCAGGCATGGTACATTAATCACGCTCAGATGTAATCACATTCTGTACCCCTATTGACTTTCCGATAGTCATGCAACAGAAGCGTGAAGAGCTGCAAGCTTCGGGCAAGCCGCCACTTTACGGGCTCAACCGAGTGCCTGCCGCAACTCTGTCTTTTACCGCGTTCAACCGTCTGCTTCTTCGGTGAGAGGAGGCTTGCAGCTGGTGTGTCTGCCACCCGAGCATCTCACCAGTCCAGAAGGCGCGCCACTCGTTGACGTCCGCCACATACAGCTCCTCACAGCACAAGAATAGAAACGGTCCGCCACGGGCAAGCCGCGCACGCACGCCCGGTCCTGTCGATCGCTCTTCGACCCCCGAGTTTCAAGTTACGGCGTGCGTTTTGTAGAGAAGCTTCCGAAGCACTTCTTCTGAAGGGCCTCGTTGTTGGGAGGAGCTTGCTTTCGACACTGGTTTCGCACTCGGCTCTTTTTGCAATGTGTCTCTCGATCTCGCTACGGTCAAAGGCCTGCTGAGTTACAGTTCAGCCCTTCCAGAAGCCGACAGGGAATTTGTCCTCAATAGCTGCGCTTGGACATCCCCATGTTCCACTTTAATCTCGGTCGGATCAGTTCGTGAACTTCCTGAGGCTACAAGGTGGAGCTCTGCCTACTTATCACGACGGCAGTGTTTATTTGCGGTGGTGTAACACTGTGTACGAGCAGTCTTGTCGCATTGGCAGCGTAGAACGGTTTATCCAACGGCCATTGGGTCTCGAAGGAATCAGCCTGAGCAATACATACAGCCGTTGCAATTGTATCGACGCAACGCTACGTCAAGGAACAGTGTCTCGAACAGATGGGTTGCCGCAGTGCTTTTTCGTCATCCAATAGTAGGTCGCCCAACCCCTTGTCGAAGCTCGAGTTGTTGAAGCTCGACTCTCAACGTGCTGCGGCGGGGAAAAGTAGACTTGGCGTTAGTGTAGCTCTGTAACCCGATTCTGACAAGGCTATGATTGCTTCCGCGAATAATTTATTGTTGTGTCGTTGCCCCGAACCAAAGGCGGAGCTGGCAGGTTATAAAGTCGACGATCCTGGCGCACTCGTTTCAGCCGTCCTCCTTCCCTCTCTTCCCTTTCTCCCATCCACCCTTTTCTGAGTTGACCTTCATGTGAGTTTTGTCAATTGCCCACCTCTCGTGTCTCCGCTAGCAGCTTCTAACCATTGAGCTCGAAGTTCAATTCAGTTTTACATCATCCACAATGTCCTCCGAGATGGCAACCCACCTGAAGCCCAATGGCGGTGCTGAGTTCGAGAAGAGACACCACGGGAAGACTCAATCCCACGTTGTACGTTGACTACCCCTCCACGAGCTGGTTGTAAATGTTTTGTCTGGACACGGTGTCAATTGTTTCGAGGCAGAGAAGCTGAGGATTGCTGCTACTTGGTGGGTGACCTCGTCCGTCCCTCTTCTCAGCTTTTGCTGAGCTGACACGAGCATTTGGCCCCGCTTTGTTGCATGCGTTTTCAATCTCACGCCTCTCATCTTACACACATAGCCCCTTGGCATCTTTGACTGCACCATGTACCGTGGAGTAGTCGAGATGCCAGCATTTGCCAGCCCCACAGCTCTACAGCTCGACTTTGCAATCGTGCTGACCAAATGCAAATAGGCCTTCGAGAACACTTCGACCTCCGTCGCTGCCTCGCAGATGCGCAATGCCCTGAACAACTTGTGTGACTCGGTCACCGACCCCGCCGAGAAGCAGGTGAGTTTGCTGAGCTCCAAGCCGCTGTGCGTCTTCAGCTTCTAATACAGANNTAAACAGCGCTTCGAGACCGAGATGGACAACTTCTTCGCTCTCTTCCGCAGATACCTCAACGACAAGGCCAAGGGCAACGAGATCGAGTGGTCCCGCATCGCTCCTCCCAAGCCCGAGCAGGTTGTCGCCTACGAGGACCTGCCCCAGCAGGAGTCCGTTGACTTCCTGAACAAGCTCGCTGTCCTCAAGCTCAACGGTGGTCTCGGCACCTCCATGGGCTGTGTTGGCCCCAAGTCGGTCATCGAGGTCCGTGACGGTATGTCCTTCCTCGACCTTTCGGTCAGACAGATCGAGTACCTCAACCGCACCTACGGCGTCAACGTTCCCTTCGTCTTGATGAACTCGTTCAACACCGACGCAGACACCGCCAGCATCATCAAGAAGTACGAGGGCCACAACATCGACATCATGACCTTCAACCAGTCAAGATACCCCCGTGTCCTCAAGGACTCGCTCCTCCCCGCCCCCAAGTCGGCCAACTCTCAGATCTCTGACTGGTACCCTCCCGGTCACGGTGACGTTTTCGAGTCGCTCTACAACTCCGGCATCCTCGACAAGCTGCTCGAACGCGGTGTCGAGATTGTCTTCCTCTCCAACGCTGACAACCTCGGCGCTGTCGTCGACCTCAAGATCCTTCAGCACATGGTTGACACCAAGGCTGAGTACATCATGGAGTTGACCGACAAGACCAAGGCCGATGTCAAGGGTGGTACCATCATTGACTACGAAGGCCAGGCCCGTCTTCTTGAAATCGCCCAGGTTCCCAAGGAGCACGTCAACGAGTTCAAGTCGATCAAGAAATTCAAGTATTTCAACACCAACAACATCTGGATGAACCTCCGCGCCGTCAAGCGCATTGTCGAGAACAACGAGCTCGCCATGGAGATCATCCCCAACGGCAAGTCGATCCCCGCCGACAAGAAGGGCGAGGCCGATGTCAGCATCGTCCAGCTCGAGACAGCCGTCGGTGCCGCCATCCGCCACTTCCACAACGCACACGGTGTCAACGTGCCCCGCCGTCGTTTCCTTCCCGTCAAGACCTGCTCCGACTTGATGCTGGTCAAGTCTGACCTCTACACGCTCAAGCACGGTCAGCTCATCATGGACCCCAACCGCTTCGGTCCCGCTCCTCTCATCAAGCTCGGTGGTGACTTCAAGAAGGTCTCGAGCTTCCAGAGCCGCATCCCCAGCATTCCCAAGATCCTCGAGCTCGACCACTTGACCATCACTGGTCCCGTCAACCTCGGCCGCGGCGTCACCTGCAAGGGTACCGTCATTATCGTTGCCAGCGAGGGTCAGACCATCGACATTCCCCCGGGTTCCATCCTCGAGAACGTCGTTGTCCAGGGTAGCTTGAGACTTCTCGAGCACTAGAAAAATTCATTTACAAATGGTGTGTCATTATGGAAAAGGGTCAAAGAGACGCAGTAGATACCACGGAACATTCAGTAATTATTTCATTTTAAAGTCATGGCGTATTCATGCATCTTTTCATCCAAGCCTTACCAGAGCCCATTCTGTTCCAATACTGTTGCCAACCCGTGACGCTGTAAGGTTCAAATCCGGAGATTGCGGGATGGACCTGACCTCATAGCGATTACACGAGCAACAACGAAATACACATGACGCGCTCTCAGGAGGAACATGGCAGTATATTGTACTGCAGAGAGAGAACTACGAGCAAACAGATAGACCCAAGCACGTTGTCGTCCTTGCAGCTGGTATGGAAACAAGGACGATGACATAGGGCATTGACAAAAGTTGGTCCAGCTTGGCGCGGCACGTTTTACCTTTTTGACGGCTGGTGATGATGAGTGTTTGGGAGTTTGTTGGCGGGTGTTCCGGAGACGATCGTTGCGACGTGCTACACGTCTTGACAAGCTTGCAGCAAGTTCTTTGCACTCTACGGATCGCTTGATGTCTGCATCTATCTGAGCAGTGCGGCCATGTCGCGTCGTGTCACCATCGCAACAAAGTCAAGCCGCCCTACCCGCACATCACCAGCCGCAGCCGCCGTCGCGACCCCCGTGCACTTCTCGTCGTCGCCGTCGCCATAGCCCGGCGATGCAGCCATCCCAGGGCTTCCCTGCTTCCGCCTCGAACCAAGCACCCGACTCGCAGTCGTCGACTCTCAACGCTTCCAACCACCTCTTCCGCGACTCCTCGTCGGCCGACAACCGCATTGTCCGCTCCATCCCGCCATGGGTCCAAACCGAAGACGACAGCGACGATGAGTCGGTCGACCAGACACAGCGCCTCCTCCCTCCCGTAAACGCTGTCCCCGCAGCTCATCACTATCTCCCCGCTCCACCCACTCAGCACAAGGCCCCTGGCCGCAAGTGGGATCACATACGTTCTGCCGAGCCTCCCCTTTTGGACCAGCCCATAGACACCAACCAGCAAAGATGGCTTCCCTACATGCTGTCAGGCCCTCAGCCGAGAGGCGTACCTGGCGCCAGACTTGTATCCGACGCCTGGATGGACGAGAACATGCCTCATCTCACCAGTACCTGGACTGCTGCCGAGCCCGAAAAGCCCTTGGAGAAGACAAAGGGCTTATGGCTGTTCACTCCGGAGAGACGGTCGAGGACTTTCGTGCGCATCAAGGTACTATTGCATTCTGCTCTGGCTTTTTGCTGTCTTCTAATTTCTCGCAGNCGTATCATCCTTAAAAATCCCTTTGTTCCCCTCGTCTTCCGTCTCATCGTTCTTACCTTTACCGTGGCCGCTCTTGGATTGGGTGCCCGAGTATTCCACGAGGCCGACGCAGTCAATCGCCAGGGCGAAGGTCCATGTAGCAAGCGTGCTTCAACATACATGGCTATCATCTTGGATAGCGCTGCCGTGCCATACATCGGCTATATCACATGGGACGAATATCTGAGCAAACCGTGAGTGGCTCTTTTACTGTATTATGAACCGCGTTGACTGATGTCGCAACAGNNGCTTGGACTCCGAAGTGCTACAGCAAAGGTGTCGCTCCTTCTAGTCGACTTGTTTTTCATTGTTTTCTACTCTTCAAATCTGTCACTGGCCCTGGACGCGTTGGACGATCCTCGCTGGGCTTGCTTCGACCACAACGAATCTCTACTATCAAATTGTCCTGCTTCTCCCCGTATATGTCGGTCACAACAAGGGCTATCCGGCGTTTTGGCTGTTGCTTTGATAGCGTGGCTTTTCACTTTTGTCATTAGTGTACTAAGAGTGGTGGAGCGTCTTCGTTAGTTAGGAAAGACGAAACATCATGTTCCTTTGTAATCAATTATGCTATTCATATTCATGTATCTATTTATATACGTCTAGATCTGCTTCTCTTCTTCCAGCTTGTTCTTCGCAAGACGGCCATATGCAATGTCTCCAGATCTACCTGGAGGTCACAGCGCATGGAAAGAGATAGATCTGCGTGGAGGATCGATGGAAGCATGGGCTTTGTGTTGTTAGCTTGTCTCAAGTCGGTTGCCCAAAGATGGTTTGTGGTCGAGAGCGCCCAAGGTGTGGCTGAGCTGTGGCTGAGTTCGACGTCACCAAGTAGTACAAACACATTTCGCGATCTCTCTCCTTCTCTTCCTGTTACCAGCGGTAGAAACTCACCGGCGATACGCTCCTTCCATAGTCACCGTGACACCGTCCTCGACTCAGTATGCGCTTATTCCTCCTTCCCATCTCAACGCGGCGTACGCTCCTTTACTGCGATCGCGTCGCAACTCAAGTCAACGCTAGCGGAAAGCTATCCTACCACGATCGCATCGTCAACAAAGCAAACGAGACGTGGGCATCCTGGGAGAACTCGCCCAACAAGTACAAGAAGAAGCTCACCGACTACGGCAACATTGTCTTCAACCGCATCTCCTACGAGGAATGGGGGCTCAAGACGTTGCCTTCGTCTACTGCAGACCTTACGCCCACCGAAATCGTCTTTCCCGGCCGCTTCCTGGATCAGAAAAAAGTCCCGGACATTTTGAGAAAACTTGCTACCGAGAGACAAGGCCTTCACAAGCAGAGGTTTTGGGGTAGTCTGATCGGCTTGCCTTTCACCATCCCCGTTGGATTACTCCCCGTCATCCCAAACATTCCTGGATTCTATCTTGCTTTCCGCGCGTGGTCGCACTTCAAAGGTCAGTGACTTCTGACTGCGTTCTGTCCAGTCGCACGAGATGCAAAGACTCACTCGCTAACTGCCTCTCANGCATTGTACGGCTCCAAGTATCTGGAAGCTCTGATCAACAGCAAAGAGCCCTTGATCAAAATGTCCCCATCAAAGGCTTTGGACGATCTTTACGCCGCAGGCTTAATACATCCCTCTCGAGAACATTCGAGGCAGGCCACTTTGCCTTCGGAAACCGAATCCCAACAAGTTGCCGAACTCGTCACCCAACAGACAAATAACGATGCCTTGGATGTCATGCTTCTCAAGCGGTGGAATGGCAAACTACTTGCTGAACAGTTCAACCTTCCGGGCATGGAGCTCGAGATCGAAAGAGCGGTTGAGCAGGTCCAGAAGAACATTGAAGCCGAGTCCGTGGCAGTGGACGAGAAGGGAGATACCAACACAACCACTGTGGAAGAAACGCTTTCAAACGGGAAAAAGTAATGTGATTCTGCTTCGAATCCCAACTGTATTTGTGTTTCTTTCCAGACTCTCTGGATCCGACTCTTCATTGTCCAGCACCACTTGTGTATTTGTTGGTTCTATGTCTGGACATGCTCTCCAAACCGGTATCATGATCCTTTGTCGGCAATGTGAGGACGCGTTCTTCGAGGCTTTACCGGGCCGTGTACCCTCCGTCGACGGGCAATGCGACCTGCGATACCATTAGCAGTCGTTCCCAATTTCGACACTTGATGCATACTCCTGTTATCCATGAAGAGTCTTCCGAGGCTAGGAACACAGCGGCACGTGCAATGTCGTCCGGAATGCCTAATCCTCGGAACGGATGCAGGCTGATTATGTGTTCCTGCGTCTCCTCGTCTCTGAGTACCTCGCTTGTCATCTGGGACGAGATCCCTGCGTNCTGGCATTAGTACCTGCTGATCCACTCAGGATACCGTCACTTACAGCCAGGACAGATACAGTTGACATGTATCCTGTGAGGCGCGCAATCCAATGCGACCGCCTTTGTCATGTTGACAATGGCACCCTTGGAAGCACAATAGCTAGCAAAGTTGCTCGTTCCCACCATCCCGAAGATACTCGCGACATTGACGATCCAGCCGCGGTCTCCGTTCGGGTGAGGATCTTGGTTGATCATCTGCCTGGATGCATATTTACACCCAAGAAACACGCCTTTCGAGTTCACTTGCTGTATATCGTCCCACAGTTCCTCATCGGCACTCCAGATCGGCTGCAGAGTTTCCAGGTCGAAGGTGATACCGGCGTTATTCACGANAGCTGTGTTCAAGCCGTATCAGTGACTTCATCGAGTCCGAGTAAACTGGAGAACTTACATGTCAAGCCGGCCATAATGGGACACTGTCGTCCGCACCAGGTTTTCGACATCTTGACTGCATCCTACGTTCGCGCTGACAAAGAGTGCATTGCAGCCACTCTTGAGGATAACGTTGTGTGTTGCATCATCACCAGAGTCGCTGTCGCTGTCCGTAGACGACTCTGTATCGGCACACACTACGTGGGCACCTTCACTCGAAAATCGAAGTGCAATTGCTCGACCAATCCCAGAAGATGAACCTGTGANCGCTGAGTGTATGTCAGCTGGGTAATGCAAACGAACCACACCGGTCGAAGCTCTGGACCAGACAGATTTGGCAGTCACTTACACTGCTACTTTGTTATACAGCCGTCCACAATGGCCGTTATCCATCATCGTCCAGAAGGGATGCTCCTACCGCTGTGTTGTTGATTCACAAAAAAAACCTTCCGAAAGGGATTCCTGAAGTTGCAGCTTCTTTACTGCGGCCACGTCTTTTGACAAGAAACCCGTCACCATACGAACCAGTCGTGGCGCAACAGCAGATGGATCTCAACAAAGCACAAGTGCTTGCCGGGTCAGATAATTTCCGTTCAAAGGTTGAAGTCGTTCGACAAGACTGGGGTGTAGACGGCTTGCGTTGACCTGTCCGGATTACTCCTGCTCACTGTTGCGAAAACAGCCAGTGCTAGGGCTGAAACAATCTTCCAGAGATGATGTAGAGCGTTCGTAGAGACTGTTCGTCAGGGGAACAAGGCTTTCTGGCTGATGTGCCACCAAAGGGTCTGCGGGCTGTAGACCGAGACCGGATCAACGGTCGGATACTTGAGAGTAATGGAAGTAGGGTAGATGGCCAAGTTGCGGCTCGGGGCCCACAGCAGGGACGGGTGCGAGAACCGGTCTCAATAATGATTGCCGATCCGCCAAAAAAATCATGCTCAACGATCATCCTCTACTCAGCCGGACGAACCAGCTAACAAGGACTGACCCGAGTACGCGTCTAACGGCGGCGGCGACTTGTGGGGATTACAGCACTCGGCACATACTGGTGCTCTGCCGACCAAACTATCCCAAATTGCTGGCGATCGACCGGCAGTTGTGGGTTTAAGGTGTTTATTCGGAACATGTGGTGACCGTCGATGCTTTGATCGTACCAGATGCATGCAGCCAGAAGGGATCGATCTGATAATAGAACATGTTCACTCCCCTACTTGGTCATCGTTCCGCACATGAACACTCAGCTGATCTCGGGCGGTGACGAAGCGCCTCCAGAACCATGTGATTCAATACTATGCATGACATTCGGTTGTGAGTCGTAAACTTCCACGTTGCATGCTTTATCTTTTGCTCCTAAGCCCGAAAGCTACTTGGAGTAGACTCAACGGTGAGTCCTTGTAGGCTAGAGTGTTCCAAACTAGCCAGGATCTGCAAATGGTCATTTGGATGTTTCCGCACGAGCTGCGAGGCAACCAATCAATATCGACTTGCTCGGGTTGACTATCTTCTTCTTGCTGCACCACAGTGAAGGTTTACGTTGTTCTGCAGGACGAGGAAGGTTATAGGCACGCACGTGATCACTATGTCCAGAGAAGATCCAATCAACAACGAGCTGTCGAGTAGGCGGCAATACGGACCAAGTAAGGTTTCCAGCAGTCGCGCCCGCCCGTTTTGTCCAACAGCAAACTGGTCGCCAGCCCCAAGCATTGCTATGGATCAAGATTCGGAACTAGGCGCTTGCCGGCCGGCGGCTCTGTCTGAGTCCTGGTTGCATCGTGACATCTATTTGAGAGAAGAGAATAGACCCAGCAATCTATGGGCAGTGTAGAAAATTCGATTCAGGCTCTCTGGCTCAATGTCACCGGCGCGGGGATGGAAGCAGTTGCAATTCGTTCCTTCCCTTTCCCTTGTTATTCTACCGGTCTGCTCAATTAATCTCCAAGCGCTTGGCAGTAAGGGAAACAAGTTTTGCCCATGCAAGTGTTCTGCAAGACGTCTGGCGAATCGACGTTCTCGAGTCTTGACAGGTGGGCACGACTCAGCCACTTCTCAAACGTCTGGTTCAGTGTCTCGACTCTTGTCTCGAAGCTTACGATCTAGGGCTTAGGCACAGAATCTTGACCTTCCGTGTTCCGTAGATCTTGACAGGGAAGTTTGGAGATTGTGCAAAGACGTCCAGCCGTCTTAGCAGACGCGAAGAAACCAAAAGAGGTCCGCGTCTCTCGAAACAAGCGAGCGCCATCAACGTGCGGTGTGGCCAGCAACGGTCTAAGGGAGCCGCGATGCCAAGGATCGCAACTCTAATGGCAGTCCGACGACACATGGGACCACGCACCTTTTCCTCGTGTGTCCCTATTTGCACGCGACGATCAAAGTTACTATAGCACGAGCGACACCCAAGGTTCACACCAGATAGCTCTCGAACCGTATGCCTACGCGTATTGCATGCGATTGTTGGAGAGTTCTCGTCGTGCCAGGGAGACAGATGCAGCTGACCATGACCGCGCGCGGGAACCAGATGTTTGTTGGCCCATGTTTTTTCTTTTTCGAAATCTTGGGTCCGGCCCCCTTGAACGACGCCCGTTCGATCCATCAATCTACGACATTTAGGTCTCAGGCAAAACAGATTACGAAGGGATCAAGATCTTCAGGCTTCATGACGTCTGCAGGAGTCTTTGGTCTGCTGAAGGTTTGACTCCTGCAGGTGCCCGAGCACATCACCGTGTCGGCACAGGGTCAAGGAGAGAGCTTGATATGAGCATTCATCCTTACTGGACGACCAAGGGCGCCTCGTCACATCGACTTCAATGAAGGTGCTGGACATGTTGAGAGACCCCTGTCTGCGAGACCTCACTAGTTGTGGCATGTCGCCTCGTCGTTCATCTCAAGCCCCAACTGTCACAAAGCCATTGTTCTAGGGTTGTTCTGTGAGAAGCTGTCAACTCTGCCGTCTCGAATCTCAGTGTCCTGTGGCTGTCATGGCGCCTTTCACAGAGGCAGGTCTCGGGCTCGAGTTCAACAGTCAACTTAAGCTTCAGATTCTACAGACGCAAACTGCTGAGGGGAGTGAGCACCTCAAGCTGTTCCTGCCAATCACATTGTAAATCGATTTCGGAGGTTCTCAGCTCTCGTTTACAAACATTTCCGGTTAAAAGCCTCGAGTTACCGGGGTTGCTTTGTCTGCTTGAGGGTTGGTAGGAGATGCGGATCACACTAGACATATTAGGATAGGTTGCTAAGCGGCTAGTTTTTAGGCTGACCCTTCTCCACCACCTGTTACACGTTCACGCTCTGCACTATTCCTTATACACGGCCTGATTACTTGAGCTTCGGTACAGCTCAAGTCCGCTAGGTACCGTGCAAAGAGCCATCCGACAACTATATGGTCTCCGAGCAGTGTCTCTGCTGCTGTAGAGTCACTATAACAGTGGAAGTATTCGATCTTGAACACAGCATGGTCGGCCGACACCGATCCTGACCAATTACTAGGCCAGGAAGCAGGATTTGACACAACGATCGGCACGAACGCACTCGTGGCGCAAGGACAATTCCCCTATCTCTATAATTGACTTCTGCCATGTATCACACAGCGTTGGCTGCAGCGTCCGGCATCCAAAGGATCGATTCGTCTCGCAGATTCGCAATGTAGTCGGTGACATTTCTTCGAGACTTGGACAATGGGCGCGGACAAGGTCTCCATTCCCGTCCGAGCAGTGCCTAACGCGAGGATCGGTGGATCACGGTCGCATCCTAGACGACAACAACATGGCGCTTCGGTCGTGCGTTATCCCCGAAAGGGCTCTCAATCCCGGAGAGAGAGGGTTGATGCAGGCAGCAAGACGCACGAGCAGCCTGGGTCTTCATTGATGAGGAGGATCGAGCTGTTTCGATCTTCGACGCCCGTCTTGCCTTCACCCCTGTCAGTGGTGCTATCACAGTGATTCGCCAACCAGGCATCAGAGTTCATGATATGTACACACGTCCTGGTCTTCTAGTGGGTGGGTGCTGGCAGGTGTCTGTGGTTAATGAATGCCCTGACAGTAAGGGCACGGTGCATACGAAGGGTCTTTGCGACAAGGTTTTTTTGTCAGCCATAACCCTCTTTGCATACATTGCTCGTGCTTCGCCGAGGTGGTCACACTCTTGTATGCTTTATCGACGTAGCACTGGCTCGGCACGACGCACACACTGCACAGGTTGGTAGTTCTTGAGGCAGGACGCGAAACAAGAAGCTTGTGTAGATACATTTTAGATATGAAGAGTGACAGAGCAATGTATAAATCTCGAACATGGTCTTGTCTCATATGCTACTGGATTCTCCACTAGGTTTTCGCGGTCTCGACTGCCGTTGATTGGCTGAGGTGCGTGCAAGCAAGTTGAGCACACAGCCAGACGTGACCCTGATGAACGGTCAAAGTCGAAAACCAGGCGAATGGTGACTTCGGTTGTGGAGGAAAGCAGTCCGGATCGGTGTCTTCCATTGATCTCAATCGGGTTTTAGAGACGAGGTTGGGACAACATGACAATAAGGAGTGCAGATATTGCCTCTATTTCCACATCCAAGACATAAATAACCCCATAAATTTTCCAGAATTATATTGAGCCTAAGCAGGTAGCAGTCTAGAACGACGAGATCGAGCAACCCGTATCTACTTCATAACCACACCCTAGCAGGATCTGGCGGGACAATGAGATAGGCACGTGTATGCCCATGCTTGAGGAAAGAAGAATCCTGTGACTTCCTTTCCTGCCAATTGGACCACGATATCCTGAAATGGATCTGAGTTTCCAGCTGGCCCGCACAATAACTGATACGCTCATGGCTTGGCTTCGACTCTTCGGAAGCGATCGGACTTACAGCATGATATATGGCTGCTTGCGAGCGTTGGAAGAATCTGCGCTTTCGTCCTGTTATGCATGTAACTAGGCATAAGATTACGACTTTATACACACGTCTTTATACGTACGCTTCATCATTTCTTTGGCATAACCACCGAAGCAAGTAGCAAGTCCTCAGTCCGGAGTCCGACAGCAACCAAGAAAAATGTTCAACGGGTTCTTCTAATTGGCATCGATAATAAACGTCACTGATTTGAGTAGTGAGAAGAAGACGTGTACGCGACGGAAGAGCCTCATTCTCCGGGGCTTCCGATGCACCGAGGGTTCTTGTTTTCGAAAGCCTCTTTTCCAACGTCCTTCGCTCGGTTCACGAGTCAGTTCAGAGAGATCTGGCACAAGTCATGGAATCCCACTCCTTCCGCTCCTCGGAAGCCTCTGCCGAACAGCGCAGCTACACAGCACACTCGCTCACACGTACTGCCGTCCGATGAGTCGTGAATCCCACGCCATCGCGCTGGGCTCGCTCGGCAACTCCACCAAACTCATCGGTTCGTGAGTGGGGCCGCCATGTGCACTCACGGTACTTGCCTTTGACTCGACTCGAGGTCATTCGGACTCCTTTGCTTTTATTGGTCTACCGTTACTCGTTAAACCACTAACAGTCTTGGAGTTGCCTACTCATCCTCGCCGAGTGTCGAGGTTTGCTTTGAGGCCGTGGTTCTGTTTACGTGGTCGACGTCTACACGTACACGCGCCTCTTCGAGTTTGGCATCAAAGTATGACTTTCACGGTTACGTGGAGCGGCCGGAAAGTCAGTAGTCGTCCAGTGAGAAGCGACCTTACAGGGCTGACAACTAAATTCCCGGCCTCTCCACGTATAGACGTATATCAAGCGGTCAAAACTTTCAAGACAACCCGGCTTTGGAGATGACTGTCCAGGGAAAGTTGCATAGAGCTAGACTACCTGTTGATCTCCATACAGGTAACAATGAGGACTTTCGGGATCTAGGACTGCTATCTAACTCCACTCTGTTGCTGTGGTGGTCAGCCAAGTCGGGTCTCTCCATCACGCATGTGCAATCCGGTACGTACGTACGCACTCCATAAGACACTAAAGGACGAGTGCGGGTGAGCCTGTCTAATAGATGTTCTTTACGCGTTGGCATTGATCGATCAGCGGCAGCCCAGCCTCAATTCGGACTGCACCATCTCTAAAGACCCCACACGCTACTCCTGTTACCTTTGAACCGACATTTGAGCGAGTTGCGTACAGAGGTAGATTTTGTCCATTGGAGGAAAAGGTCAACCTCGATGTGTGAGCAACCCATAGACGTAGAGGATCGGGCTACTGATGAGATAAGGGCGAGGCAGTCTCGAGAGAGCGAAGCACCTCAGAATGGGAAACTTGCATGGCGATACACCTTCTCTCAAGCGTAGGGTGAGTGCATGTGCCACGGGCTGACCCTGCTCAGAAGGAATAGGAAGCCCAAAGAAAACAATGGATTAGGCAAGCCTCAGGGGCTGCATACAAGACCAGCTGAATTCGACCCGCGTTGAACAAGCGGTGTTACATACACGGCAGGACCACTGTCTTGGACCGGCTAAATCATTCATGGCCATGTGCTCACTCATGCTGTTGGACAACGACCAATAAGCAGATGAGGGTTGGCCGAGCGCCGAAAGAAAACTGCCAAAAACGAGATACATGCCCTGCCTGTATGGTCTCATTGGAAAATGAGGTTGCAACGGAATCCTCTTCTGGTGATTTGTGGGCCTTGACTTCCCTCGACGGTACAACAGCTCCTCCATCTCTGACTAAGCGTGCCTGTTCTCCGTCGTCCGTTGCACAAAAAGCAACAAGGTGAACGGTCGACATTTGGTAACATGACTGTTAATTTATCGAGCAGCATTCTCCACTAGTATCTCTGTGTACTCGAATATGGTATCGTCAGTCCACTGAGACTGCCCGACTGAGTCATCTCAGCAGTCACTGGTTCTTAGTGAGCACTTCGCGGAGTCGTGCTTGGCCGATCAGCCTCCAGCCCAATCCCAGACGTGTGCATTCAGGGATGTTCCGTGGCTGGGAGTATGGAACGTGAGGTGGGTATGTCAAACTCTGTTCAGCTTCATCTACATGACCTGTTCATTTCCTTTGCTCCTCGCGGCAGAACGTTTCATACCCATGATCCTTCCTTGAGAAGTCATGGATGGGTTGCTGTTTAACTTTCCACGGATCACCACCTCATCTGTGTGTGGAGTTTTCTTCCTTTCTTCGTACCTCGTTCCTTGCTCGTCCACCAATCGGTCTTGTCCGCGACAGTCTTTCCATTCGTTGGTCGCTGCCTTCCCCCAATGTTGACTATCCGCCCCCTTTTCCAGTATTTGTGACATTTCGACACTGCTGACATCTTGACACGTTGGATAGTGCCTGCATGGCCTGCAGATTGCTTATCTCGAGCTGGAAAACGCTCTCGATTCGCTGCCAACCCTTGTATATACAATTGCATGAGAATGTGCGCGCTACGGATATTAAGACACCTCTGTCTCGTGTACTGTTGTTTGCTCTCCTTCCTCTGTGCTTCCCTTGTTCTTCATTTGCTTGGTACGCACGTAGCAAAATCCCATACCTTTCCAAGCCAAGGACCGGACACAACGCCTCTGTCTAGCTCATTTGCATGTTTGCTCTCTCTCACAATCTAGCATTTGTACAGGGGGCGAGCGGTGCTACGGCAGATGGTGGGAGAAAAATTACGTCGGGGATTCCATCATTGCCCTTTTGTGTCTGCTTCATGCCACATCTAGTGCTGCAAACTTGATCTTGCTGTCAAGTCTAGACTGGTCACGGTCAGGTTTATCTTGACAGAAATGTTTGTCTTCGCTCTTGCCGCTCGCTCTTGAAGACTCCATTCCTGTCTAGGGATTTTCTTCTTCCCTCTTTGCATCTTCGATTGTGTTGCAGCAACAGAGCAGTAGCAAATCAAAACAACGTCTCATGATTTTCAAAAGTCTCGGTATTTGATCGCATCGCGCCTCCATCTGTGGTTGGATTTTTTTTTGTAAATTGCTCTGATCAGAATTCTGCAAGTCCAAAAGTCCACCGTGCCATTGTTGTTTCTTTTGAGCCTGTGTTGTGTCACTTGTCGTATCTGGAACCGCATATACTATGATGATGCTACGAATTTCAGACTCACTGTAACCACTTGAACCTTGACAAGAATATCCGTGTATTTGCTCATGCTGCCCTCGAAGGCTCCAATCCATGTCTACAAATTCTTCTGATCCTGTGCATTCTCGACTGCGTCACAGCCACAACACAACCGACTCAAGTCTTCTAAACTCAAGAGCCAGTCCTGTTTTCCTCTGCTCTGGTTTCTCCACCGGCTTTGTCTGGTGGGGGTTTTTTCTTGGTACAAAGACAGTTGAGGGGGGGAATAACAAAAAGCCAAACATATGTATATCATCATCATCATCATTATCCTTCCATATTATCCCATTCTTACTTTTCTTGACTGGGAATAAGCTTTCACGGTCTTTCAGTATACCAATCTGTATTCACAAAAGGTTCATCCCTTGATATTGTAACATTGAAGAAGAGTGAAACAGTCATACATGTATAACTCGCAGGGCAGCATCAAGCATCAACCATCAAAACACCAATCGACAAGATCAGGCGAATGAGACACACACTCGATACAACCAAGATCTAATGATAAGACGCGAACTTGGTGCCAACTTCCCAAATGTCTGTTCTTATGACATGAACGTGTTCGCCAATTTGTTTGCAGTTCCATACTATTTCTTGACCAGATCTCTACGTTGTGTCGAAAGTCAATATTAGGACCGACTCTTGTAGACTTATATTGCAATAGCAACATCCATAGTCAAAAAGTATCCTTCAAACTGGTCTGTGGGAGTTTTGGTGGCACAGGCTAGATTCGTGGCAAGTTGTCATCAATATATTGCCGTCGGTGATTGCTTAGGGGCCACCCTGTCTGATATCCCACCAACCTCTCAGAATCGTTTCCCGAACATCGAGATAGCAAACGACGATCAAACACTCCAGATGATACGCATGAGAAAGTACGCTAACACATTCGCTTCGCTACCAAACCTGCCAAATGGGCAGCCCTATCTATTCTACAAAATGATCACAATCTCTCTTGACTCTGTTCAAGTTGGAACATGATCTTGTCTAACCAGCGTGTTCAACAATCTCGCTAACGAGCTTGCCGTTCTTGAAATAGGTACGGAACTGCTCGGGTAGAGGGCACTCCTTGTAGTCGTCTTGTTCGGTCTGAGGAGGGAGGTTGACGTTGATGCTGGCGCATTTCGAGGTGTAAATTTCAGTGTTCAAGCTCTCCTTAGAGAGATAGATGGAGGCACCATCGACCTGGTCAAGCATGACAGTGGGAAGGCTGCCGAGAACTTGCAAGCCAAAGTTGGGGCACTTGATAACGTCGACGGATGAGATGAGATCGTCGATAACAAGATTCGTGCGCGGACTGTTGTCGATGCTGATGGCGTTGGCCTTGCCGATCAGACGGATAGTGGTGTTTTTGCACTTTGTGATAAGAATGGACTGTGTGACGGAAACCTCGACCTCAATTGGAGCGTCGGTGTCCTCGAAGTTCTCGATGATCCACTTGTTGCCGTCGAGTTCCTTCTTGGGATCCTTCTTAGGTGTGGGCTGGGAGATACCCTTGCCACGGATGCTATCGGGCTTGGGCTTAAGCTCGGGGCCCCTGCTACGGCTGCGGTTGACGCTGTCTTGGCTTCCTGTTCGGTCAGTAACGGCAGCGCCAGCGCGTAGCGAAGGGTTCTTATGCGTCATCTCGCTCTTGTCGACCTTTCTCAAGCCAGACGTAACAGACTCGCCCCTGTTCAGCTGATCGAAAACAGCGCCCATGTCACCACCGCCCGACTTGGCAGGCGGAGGCGGACCTGGAGGAGGGGGAGGGTTGTCGAAAGTGGGAAGCGGCGGCGGAGGGGGTGGTGGTGGAGGACCGCCTGCAGCACCGGGAGGAGCAGGTGCCGATTGTGAAGAAGGAGTGGGAGCGTTGTTTGCTTCCTTGAGAGCCTTTGCGAGATCCATGCCCTGAGCATTCCATGTGACACCAGCGGCGTAGTGATTGCGAATGTAGGATTGGAGGCTCTTCCAGATGGCGTAGTATGACTGGACGTAGGCGACGTGCTTGGGGTCCCTAATGCATGGTCAGTTGACTCGATCGGAGGGGGATGGGGAGTTTGCGACGGACTTCTCCTTGTACTCCTTGAGCACTCTGTTTCCGAACAATTGCACACCGCCGAGGATCTCAGCAACGTAGTCGGCAGGCTTGCCTTCGAAGACGACCCACTGCAGACCACCCATGCCCTCAGCGACCATGTTGAGGTGGTCCTTGAAGGGTGAGGCGCGGTTCGAATCCTTGATCTCGGTGACGGTGCCCATCTCTTGCTGCAGGTCCTTGATGAGCTCGGAGAAGGCGGGCGAAGTCATGTCGGGCTTCTTGGCCTTGTTGGCAACGACGAGGTACTGGCGCTGAGCGGCGAATGCGCGCTCGACGGCGTGTGCCTGNNACAGGGGTTAATGGTCGGGGTTTGGTGTATGTGTGTTGGATGACGGTCGTACCTGGGACTCAATGTTCTTGTCCAAGCCCGAGGCGGATGTGACAAACTTGGCGACGTGGTCGTTGATCAAGCCGTCCATGTCCTGGATAGGCTTGGGGAGAGCATCGGGCTGGGTCGTGGGCGCGGCAGGAGGTGGAGGTTGGGTAGCATTTTTGGCGACACCAGGGAGTTCGGGAGCACTCGAAGAGGCAGGGAGGTGGGTCGCGCCAACATCAGAGACAGTGCCCCTGGGCTGTTCAAAGTTGGCCGACGAAGTAGCAATGTCCTCGAGACGGGATGTGGCAGCTTCGAGTCTGGTGACGAGTGTCAGTACAAGGCGTGGTTGGAGAGAGTCGGTCGGCAGCAGACGGACCGCTTGATCAGCGTGGTGAGGTTGTGCATGCCGAGATTGCTCGTTGTCGTCGCCATGATGGGTGGTGTGGTTGTGTTGGCAAGATGTCTAAGGGTGCAGGTGCAGGCACGAGTGCTCGAATGCCATTGCCAACTTGGCCCTGCCCCGGCCTGGCGCTCCGCCAATTCGCGTGCACGAGCCAGACACTGAAACAATCGAAGCCACTTCCGTCTTCCGCCCAGAGTCGAGTCCGCAACATCATCGCCGACTCCAACCTTGGCTTCAGACACGCCCTATTTCGACTCTTCTGATCCCATTACAGACATTATGAACCCCATTGATTTTTGTACCACTGGCATGTTCATCATTGGTTAGTCAATCCTTCGGTCTGTGCACGTTTCGGTCGTTATCGTACATGCCAATCTGCAAATGCTAAGTCGTCTCCCCCANGATGACATCTACCCTGCCCCATCTGCTCATGATCAAACTCCTTTCTTGAATATTCCTGGTGGTGCTGGTACTTATAGTGCTTTGGGTGCTCGGCTCCTCTCTCCATCATTTCAATCCAAACAGATCGGTTGGGTGGTGGATGCTGGTCATGACTTTCCCTCATCTCTACGTGACATGATAGCTGATTGGGATACTGCCGTGTTGATGAGATCCCGCGACGGCCCGACAACAAAGGGCTGGAATGGCTACGGCGCCAACGAACACCGAGGTATGTTCACGTCCACAAGAGGTTGCCTTTGCTGAATGTCTTGCAANGCTTTCAAATATTTGACCCCCAAGCTCCGAATCACGGCAGAAGACCTGTCGCCCAAACTTTTGACCGCCAAGTCGTTCCACCTCATATGCGCTCCGGCCCGTTGTGTTGAGCTGGTCGAAGGTATCAAGTCTCGCAGGGCCGCGCTCGGACAGTCGCTTGATGAACCTCTTTTCATTTGGGAGCCTGTACCAGATCTCTGCGTGCCTGCCGAATTGGACAATACCATCAAAGCACTCGAACACATCGATATCATCAGTCCTAACCATGCAGAACTGTCAGATCTATTCTCGGTCGTCGGAAACAAAGAGTCTGGTGACGTGGATCGTCGAGTTATCGAGTCGTGTAGCTCCAAGCTGCTTTCCAGCGTATCTGGCGAACGAGCATCCAAGGTGTCAGTAGTCGTGAGATCGGGCAAGGATGGATGTTATGTTGGTTCATCGTCCAAGCAAGCGTGGCTCCCAGCGTTCCATGCACCTACCCCGGACAAAGTCGTTGATCCAACTGGCGGAGGCAATGGATTTCTCGGTGGATTGGCGATTGGTCTTGTCAGAACGGGTGATGTGGTTGAGGCGTCCAAGTGGGGCAATGTAGCAGCGAGCTTCATGATCGAACAAGTAGGTGTGCCGGTACTGCAAACAGAAGAAGGGAAGGAAAGATGGAACGGTGCGGTGGTGGAAGAAAGACTTGCGGAATACTCGTTGCGATGCATAGATGAAACAGCAGTTGGACAGTAGTGGTATTGTGTCGCTGGTCTGAAGAAGGAGAAGAAAAAAGTACAAAGATGCAGGCCCCCAAACTCCGATTTATTTCATATGGACAGCGGTTTACTCGTCGGTGGGTGTGAGGGATCGCTCGTGTTCGCGGATCTGACGGCTCCANNGCTGGACGATGGTCGTCAGTATGTGTTTTCTTGTGCAGAAGTAGCAGGAGGGCATGTACTATCTGCTGGGGAAGAAACGGCCCTGCTCGGGCATCTTGTAGCGGTGTTCGCGGTCGGCGCTCAAGCTGAAGAAGACGCCAGCGACGAGGACGACGGAAAGGCCCATGACGGCGGTGTTGGCCTTCCAGTTCTTGGGTTGCGAGTACCAACCACCAGCGGGTGACCAAACGTGCTTGGGGTAGCTGGGAGCATGTTAGAATAGCACGAGTCGGATGCGACGGTATATGGCAAGCGGTTGTCGGTGGTGGGGGAGTTGGTATATGGAATCTTGTGCGGGGCCGTCGAGGGCACAATGGGCGCTGCAGAGTGTGAGGAACGTACGGAATCTTGTCGCCGGCCATTTTGAGAAGCGATTGAGGGAGTGTTGGTCGAGGGTGGGCTACTGGGCAGCTCTCTTTGATGGTCGCGCTGATGTCGCTGACCGGGAAGCCAAGACTCGCAGCGTGCACAGACGTTGATGCATGTTGGTTGATGTCTGGCAAAAATCTCGCCCGCCGACGACGAGGTGCCATTGCAACACCATGAAGCGCATTGCAAGCCAACACATGCGTCGCTCTCTGCTGTCGCCGCGGTCTGTCCGCCTGTTGTCGCCCACTTCCTCGATAACTTCCTCACGTCGCTGTTTCGCCCTGTCGACTCGCCTTGGACAAGATGCTCCCGTGACGGCACAATCACCATCCACAATCGACACTCCCTCTATCGACTCTACCCTCTCGTCCACCGACCTTGGCAGCACCTTACGAAGGGCTTCTCGCCTGACCTCGCCCAAGCTCAGCGCTCTTCACGCCCGTCTCTCGCTCCCGCCGCGCTTCCCCGTCCAGTCCCTAGCACGCTGTCTAGTACATCCTTCGGCCGACCGCAACCCTCAAAAGAACAATGCTTCTCTCGCTGTCATTGGTCAAGACCTGCTCGCCTACTACACGGCCGAATGGCTGTTGTGCAACTACCCTCGCCTCCCCATGCAGGTCCTGTTCGCCGCCCAGTATGCCTACTCGGGTCCCAAAACTCTCTCGGCCATGCGTGACGAATGGGGTGTAGAGTCTGTCGCTGCTCCTGGCATAGAAGTCGATCCCGGCCTCTTGCAGTTTGTCCGTCAAAAGCCCGGTAACGCCATGGCCGAAGGTGCCATGGTTCGCCTAAAGGACATGCCCGAGAACGACTCCAAGTCTGTCTCTGCCCGTCCCAACTCACTTTTCAACTACCGTCGCGGTGTATCGTCTCGCATTGTATACGACAATCAGTTCGGCGACCTGCAAGACAGCCCTGATGCTTCCTCTACATCATCCCAGAGCCCTGATAGCGCCGTCACCACCGAAGAAGCTTCGGCCAGCTTCATCAACGCCGTTTTCGGCGCCCTCTACCTACACGCTGGTGCCCAAGCCACACAGGCCTTCCACCAGGCTCATATCCTCTCGCGTCACATTCCCCTGCATACCCTCTTCTCTTTCACCCACCCGACTCGCGATCTCTCTCGCTTGTGCGCACGTGAGGGCTTCGAGCCGCCTGTTGCGCGCCTGCTTTCCGAGACTGGTCGTCACTCTCGCAGCCCCGTCTTCGTCGTTGGTGTGTATAGCGGTAGCGACAAGCTAGGAGAAGCCGCTGGTTCGAGTCTGGACGAGGCTCGCGTGCGTGCCACTGCTGCTGCTCTTCGCTCGTGGTACCTCTACTCGCCGCCTCGCGAGAACATTGTTCTGCCCAGCCAGTCCGCCACCACTCCATGGAAACCCCAAATGATCGACATTGGCGAGATTGTCACTTGAGATCGAATAACGACTTGTAAATTCTTGTACCATCAGTTATACCTGCGTCCACAGGCCAAGAGGCTGCTGGACTGCACCACTCTCACCTGAAAAGCCCCTCCGTCAGCCTCCATGCATGCAAGCATTGTGCCTGTGACGCCCTAAAAGAGCCGGGGAGATTTTCTGACTCTCCTTGTTGTATTCTCTGCATACGGATCGGCGTCAAGGGATGGTGGGCTGTCGATTTATCAGGAGTATCTATGAATCTCCCTCCAAGACCCGAGGGGTTTTGTGTGTAAATATATGTTTTCTTCACAAATCAAAGTCATCTAGTGTCCTTGTGATATTGCTGTTCCGGCTAGTGATTCAAACATAATCCAAAGGTTTTGATATCTCCAACATGCTGATCAATCTTGCGGCATGAATGAACCAAAGCCTTACCGAAAGCCACAGAACGCCACCACGCGTCCGTGAGTCACGTCGTATAACAGGTTGAAGGTCAGCGATGTTGCTCTGCTGGACGACGCCGAAGCCTGCTCTATAAGTTTTGATGCTCGATGAGCATCAATGGACTCAATTCTACCAACTAAATGTTCCAGTCAAATTGTGATTATCCTCATGCATTTCGTCGAGTCCAGCTGGTAGGTATTCAAATGGTCGCTTCTAATTGCCTTGAAACCATCTTTGTAAGCACAAACCTGCTTGACAATAGTGATAGGACTTGGAGGTGACTCAGCAAAGACACCTTCTGTGGGGTATGCTTTCCAGCGGCGACCATTTCGGTCCTCTTTCACCTCCCCGGTTCGGCCAACGGAGGTTGGATGTCAGCCTATAGGGCTGATGGTCGCGTTTTTTCCAGGCACCAACAGGCTTGTAAATGTCAATTCAAAGGCGTGAAGAATGAGAGCCTCGAAACGTCGCCGACGAAGTCGTAAGATGAAGGAAGACAATAGAGTCATCGCGATGCAGCTGAGCAGCATAAATAGCTCGAGGTAGGTTCATGTTTGCTTTGGTATATTCGACTCGAGTTTACTTTTGTACCATTTGGTTGTACCTTTGCACTGTTGCCTATTTGCTGGACTATATCTATTCTCCTCGGATTTCTCGTTGCTACGCTGGAACATTGCAAATCGTTTTCGAGGCAAAGTCAAACAACATCAACAATCACTCTATCATCTCATCACGGCGACGAGACCAATACAACAATTCATCAGTCACCTAGCATATCCACAACCATGCCATCCAACCCTTTCTCGCGCCTCATGAGCACCTCTAGCTCATCAGACACGGCATCAATCAACACAACCTCATCCACAACATCAAGTACAAAGCTACTACAGAAGAGCGACACCATCTCCACATATTCGACCATCAGCAACACATCCTCCTCTGAACCAGAAGCATCGAAAAAGACAACAGATACTCGTCTATCGCCGGGGGAAAAGCAAAAGATCAAGCAGCAAGATCGTATAAGCATGCAAACATTGGCCATGCATGCTGCACTCAGGTAGCTTGATGCCGAGTGGCTTTGCAATATCTTGTTACTTTCCTTGCTCTGGAATCAGGATCAAAGGGTATCGTGTAAGGTCATGTCTCTGCTGTGTGAATACATTGAAGCGAGCGTCGAGACACGGATCATGGTTTTTGATGTACCGGGCAGCTGTTGGGTAATACGAAATGATGGAATCAAATGGGAATCAAAGGGTATACTTGCGTAATGATAGTGCTGTTTCTCAATCAATAATAATTTCAGATCTTGTCTTCCATAGCCACTTCGCTCCAGAGTCGGTTTCAGAGGACCAGGATTCAGTGTAGGCGTGTCACCTTGCTTAGTCTGCATCGCTACCGCGGTCAAATGACCATTTTAGTCTGCAACATTGTATCTTGGCACTTTAATACTAGAGTAGGTACCTGTTATTGTACTTCTTGTCTTACTGCTCACCTTAAGTCCTTAAACCCCGATAAATCCATACCATGGGCTTAGGAGCTAGGTACCTTGTGCATTATGTCCATCCTGTTCACCCACTCTTGTAGAAGAGTAAAACAAATATATATAATCCAAGCCTCTAATTGATGATCCGTATCTAGTTCAATAACTGCCATCTAAACTAATCATTACCCTTCCAAGATGTCAAATGTAGTTCTCGTCAGCGGAGCCAACCAAGGGATTGGCTACGAAATCGCCAAACAACTCAGCCAGAGACCAGACTATCATGTTCTTCTCGGATCCAGAGACTTGGCCAAAGGACAAACAGCCGCTTCTCTGATTCGAGAAACCGGAGGAAGTGTCGAAGCAATTCATCTCGATGTCACCGACCGCAAATCAATGTCCGCCGCACGACAATACGTCCAAACCACATATGAACGCCTCGACGTCCTTATCAACGTATGAATCTGATACTCGACATGAACTGTCCCCCAAAAAAAATCACCAAATAGTATTGACACCTCGAACAGNAACGCCGCCGTCCTCCTCGACTTCAACATCAGCCCCGAGTACTCACTAGGTCAAGCCATGCAAGACACTTTTGCAACAAACACTTCCGGCGCGGCAGACCTGACCGAAACATTCCTCCCTCTTCTAAAATGCAGCCGACTGCCACGAATGGTCTTTGTGTCAAGCAGTGTAGGCAGTCTGCACACATTTGCAGATTTCAAGCCTTCGTATACAATGACAAAGTACTTTGCTCCGGCATATGCGTGCAGCAAAGCCGCATTGAACATGCTGATGTTGCATTACAATGTGCAGTATGGAGACAAGGGGTGGAAGATTAATGCTTGTTGTCCTGGGTTTCGGGTAAGTCGCAAAGGGTTGAAATGGTGGAGAGGATGTGTTGCTGACTGGGTTCCCCCTTGCGATAGNAAGACGAACTTTTGCAATCATGACGAAAAGGCTGGTCCTGTGGATGAAGGCGCACTGGCTGCCATCAAGCTGGCTACTCTGGATGAAGACGGCGAAACTGGTACGTTTGTCAACATCAAAGGACAGATCGCTTGGTAGATGAGAAGCTAGTTTGTGTGGCTAGTCACAAAAGGACCAATGATGGAGTATAATCAATGTTTTGGATCGTTGACATTATCTCGTTACATCTCACTCGATTCAATATGTAGATCGTCAGGAAATACCACCTAGAGACCACTGTCAATCTGAGGGAAGGCCATGTGAGCAGAATACTGCTTCCAGTTCGAGCACTGCTGCTTGAACTGCGTCTCATCGGGCAAAGCGATCTGGTTCTTGGCCTCGAGGAACTGGACGCCAAGGCCTTCAGAGATATGCCAGGCGATATGGCAGTGCATGANGCCTAGAAAGGACAGAGTCAGCATCGTTTCCCGCTCATCGTGTATTGTGTCAGTCACTAACCAAGCACCAGGATTGTTCGCAGGGAAGGCCAAGACGAGCCAGCCAGAAGCAGGCAAAGTAGCTGTATCTCTACGAGGAGGGTTTGCAAAGTTCAGCTGGTCAGTCATAGTCGACGCATCGAAGTTTGACGATGCTTGGTGTCCAAGCACGAAGAAGTCGTGGCCGTGAAGATGGATGGNGATCTGATGAAGCATCGTTAGTACAACCTTGCGCAATACTGTTCAGATTATAGACCTACGAGTGATGGGAGGTGATCCAGACACCTGTTGAATGACCCAGTAGGTCCACACGCCCTCATTGGGGATTTCAATCACATCGTACTCTTGAGGCCAGGCGTCGCTGCCATTGAACACGTAACCGAGTGTTGGCTTGTCCCAATGGATAGACATAGCNNTAACCGGGATTAGTAAGGTCACGAGTATGAAGTTATACGAGTACTTACCGGTAGTGTTCAAATGCCACAAGAGCAGGTTCTCGCCGTTAACCGTGACGCCGTCACCAAAGCCGGTGCTTAAAGTCTTAGCCTGTGCGACAAAAGTATCCTTGTCGACAGATTGCTTCCAGTATGGAGTTGTGTTCATATCAATACACTCGGACGTGGGGGCAGTCTCGCCCGAGTCCGCAGGTGTGGAAGTATCAGAGGCGTCGTATCTGAAGATCGCACGACCATTGCCGTTGCTCGCGCTTCCACATGCACTAGCAACTTCCGCTCTGAACCAGTAGTTGCCTGATGTTTGGTTGGCTTCGAAGATCACATCGTATCTCTGGCCGATGGCGACCAACAACCACTCGTCAGCAGGCGTTGCCTCGACGGGAATAAAGTCGGCAGCGATGACCGTGAATGGATGGCCATCAAGCTTGACCATCATGTGGCTATCGACGGAGGTATTGATTAAACGCAGACGGTGCTTCTTGCCCTTGGTGAGCGCGACAGATTGATATTTACCACCAGGGCCGTTGTTGTTGGTACCGTTGAGCAAAAGAGTATCCGAAGGTGGCGCACCACCTCCAGCCTGAGCATTTACAAGAGCCAAAGCGTTCACCACGTCGGCATTCTTGTAATACCAGTCCATCATTGGAAAAGTGCCAAGGTCGATGTCGTAGTTGTCGGTAGCAGGTCCGTCAATCAAGATAGTTCCTATCACACCCATACCATATTGACTTGAATAGTGGCTGTGGTACCACGAAGAGCCGTATTGCGTGCACTTGAAGGTGTACGTCTTGGTTTCGCCCGGTGCAAGTGCGCATTCAGAAACGCCGTTTACTCCATCCATTCCGGGTGAGTTGAACTGTCTTACACCATGCCAGTGCAGCGCAGTGCCATTGTCCTGCATGGAATTGGTGACCGTGATCGAGAGAGTGTCGCCCCAGGTGGCTCGTATAACAGGTCCGGGTAGTTGACCGTTGATCAAGAGACACTGTTGCTCATGTGCTCCATCGGGATTGCATGTTGTGTTGGTGATTTCAAGATTGTAGCTAACGGTGTTTCCAGTAGAAGGGAACTTTTGATCGANAACTCAAGGCATTGTCAGCAAAGCTTGACAATGGGTTTTGTGGAACACATACTCTGTAGCAATGGAGTATCCATTCTTCCAGCAGGAGCGGGTATAAGGCCCGTTAGAGCAAGAGCTATCTGCGACTAGACTTGAGGTACCACCAGTGGCTGAAGCGGTCGAAGAGGGCTGACGACGGACCATCTTGCCCATTTGATCTCTACCCCATAAGTACTTTCTTGCTGGAGTAGCAGCAGAAGTCACAGATGCCAATGCCAATAGGCAACTGGCGGTAAAGCTTCCTAGATGCATTGGTGTATCTTTGTCGGGATCTAGAGGTGGCTGAATAGAGGATGGTTGGGTAGAAGAATGCCCGTAAATATGCAAGAAGCAGAAGCTGCCAGGATTGACAGGCAAGATGAATGAGAAGGTACGCACATCTGACTCGACCTTATATACGGTGTGCCATGATATTTGAATTTCAGCCAGACGGAAGAGCGGCTTCAGGGTGATGTGAATAGAGTGTGTACAGATCCACACTGACAGGCAAATATCAAGCTCAGCCGCTGTGTTTAGAAGACACAAGGCTGTGCAAGAGCCATCGCAAGCAATATTCCGTGTAGAAATCCATACTAGTGCAAGATTTTACGATTGGATCTTGAGATCTTGAGGGTTAGAGCGGCATGTATTGAAATAATCAGATTTGTGATGCCATGTGGATCGTGATTGTGGACCGTCAAACGGACAAGATCTCACATCTGGATACTCATGCATGTCACATCTCTGGAAGTTGATAAGCGCATCCTTCGGAGTATTACCATTGACGTACCGACTTAGTCGTAGATCCCGGACCGATCGGCATGAGTATTTTCCCAAACGAGAACTAAGTTTAGCAGTGCTACGGAGTTTTTTGGAGAGTCCGAGTCAAGGCGACGGACAGACACGAATGGTGATTGAGAGAAAGAATCCGAGAAATGTGGGAAGAAGAGGCTCTTACGATCGATCTTGATGTCAAGAATAGTATGCAGCATGAGCCCTGCGCACAAGGCCAAGAAAGCCACAGCGTCCACAAATGCTTGTCTTGACGGCTCTCTCATCATTTAGGTCATCTAATCTCTAACATCACACAGACGATCAGGGATATAGACCACCTTCAAGGTAAAGAGGATAGGCAAGCGGGGTCGAAGGTAGAGCGACGGCAGAGTCGTGTTGGTGAGTGAAGGATCGCTGGTGACTTGAGAGAGTGCCAGCCGATAGACTAGGGTACTCCTGTAATGAGCTGAAGACAGACTTTAATGTAGTGCACAAAAACCTTAGAGAGCAAGTATTCTCCGGAAGGATGAGCACTTTCGGCCTGCTCGGGAATAAGGCGAGTAGGTTCGCTTCCTTCGAAACATGGGCGCTGGAGACGGTTCCTGTCAGACTGAACCTACGAGCACGAGAGCAGTCAATATCAGGGTGGTCCCCAATGAGGAGTCGGTATAGAGTTCGTAGATCTTGGCCAGGTCTACGCGTGCGGCAACTCTCTGAACGAGGCTGTACTAGATGTGAACTGATAGAATGGCCAGAAGGGTTCAGAGGATGCTTGTCTGATGTTCTCCGAGCGAAGGTCATACCAAGGTTTCATATACCTAACTCGTTGTACCATGGCCGTTCAACCATGATGGCAAGTCAGCAAGACTAGGACGCGCAACGCTTCAGCGGGAAGCACCAGCTTGTCGTATCGCAAGGGTTTGAAGTCCGAAAACCGATACAAATAGTTCTCGACACGTCTCTAGACATGGTAGAGTAGGGGCCTAACAGCCGCGATATCCGGTAGGATAGGGACCAGGTCGAAATCGTGTTGGTCGTACCGCGACGACGCGGTGCAGATGGGAATTGTCGAGAAAGGCGGAGACGAGTTGGGGAAGGAGAGCCAAGACGCCGGTCAACGTCACAGCTCAGGTCCAGGAACGCGACCAGATGTTGCGGATGCTCGGCAGTGCTCACACAACCACTTCCACCAACAATACTGTAGACACCGTCACACGGCATTTCAAGCACGAGAGAGAAGTGCTGAAAGCAGCCATCGCCCAAGCCACCGACACCCGACAAGCCCACCGAGCTGCATCCTACAGCCTTATCCCCTAGCAACATAGCGACACACAGCATGGCGACAAAGCGCATCGAGCAGTGGGAGGTTGAACGCTACTGGGAGATTTTCGCCTCGCTTGCAAACGGCGGCACACATCTCAATGGCGCCCAGGCAGCCTCAGTATTGAAGAACAGTCAACTGCGTGACGACCAGCTAGAACGAGTATGGGACCTCGCAGACGTCGATGGTGATGGCAGCCTGGACTTTGAAGAGTTCTGCGTCGCCATGCGCCTGATTTTTGACCTGGTCAACGGTGTAAGCAGATGCCGACATACCCTCTTCCTCCCAGCACAACTACTAATTGCTCCTCAGGAATACATGGACGTCCCGGCCACATTGCCCGACTGGCTCGTTCCCGAGAGCAAAGCACATCTGATCCAAGCTTCCCACGCCATCTCAGGTCGCCAAGCCCAGTTCGAGCAAGTCGATGATCTAGAAGACGACACCCCAGGACTTAAAGACGGCTTCGACTGGTACATGCCTCCGTCCGACCGCACAAAGTACGAAGAAATCTACAGTGCAAACCGCGATCCGCGCGATGGCAGCATCACCTTCGAATCTCTCAATCCGCTCTATGAGTCGCTAGATGTGCCAGACACAGACATGCGCAGTGCCTGGAATCTTGTCAATCCCCGCAGCGACCCAGCTATTGGCAAAGATCAATGTCTTGTCTTCCTCCACATGCTTGCCAACCGCCACGAAGGCTACCGTATTCCTCGTTCCGTCCCTCCGAGTCTCCGCGCCACCTTCGAACAGGGCCGCATCGAGTATCAAGTCGACAAGGTACAAACCGCCGCCGATCGCTGGGGCACCAAGCGTGATGACACCACCATGAGCGGCAAGAAGCAGAAGTTTGGTGACGCATACCTCAGTCGCCTGGGAGTTGGCGATCGTGGTGCCTACAGACCAAAGGGTACCGATTTCACTGCCACCCGCACCGATGCTGAATGGGAGGAGGTCCGTCTGAAGAAGCAACTCAAAGAGCTCGAGGAGAAGATGGAGAAGGTCGAAGAGCAAGCAAAGAGGCGAAGGGAACGTGGCGGCAGGCGGGATGAGAGTAAGCCTGCCCTGGTGAAGCGCGAGCTTGAGCAACTGCTTGATTGGAAGCGTCGTGAGCTGCGCGACCTCGAAACAGGCGAGGGAAGAGCAAAGGTCGGCCAGGGCCTCAAGGGTCTTGGCGACGAGATCCTAATGGTCAAAGAGCAAGTCGATGGTCTGGAAGCTCATCTACGGAAGAGAGAGGAAGTGCTTAGTGATCTGAGAAAGCAGATCGACGACGAGAAGGCGGCAAGATGATTGTATATACCCAAGTGTTGACAGCCATGCTTTGGCTTGTATCAGTCAATGTGTAATGGAAGGGGACGTGTCTACTGGTCGAGACAAGTGCTGATTGGAAAGAATAAATGCAGCATGTGACAGGGCCGCGGATATGCACGCTATAGAAGCCAGATGATGACCTTTGTGCCACCAGCCATGAAAAGGAGCAAACCCCCAAACGCCGAGCAAACAAAAACAAGGGGTATCTCGATGTAAAAGCAGAACGCTATGCATAAAACACAAGGGAGGCAGAATGGGTCCTTCAAGCAGTGTCGACAAAGGGAGCGAAGGACCTGCTCTCGAACCTCTCGCCATCTTCGCCAGACTCATCAATGTCCATGCCATCGTTGTCCATGTCCCTCTCAAGATGTCGTTTGGGTCTGCCACTGGCTTTGAAGTTGGCCGTGGTGCGTCTGGCTTGCAAGATGTCCCAGTAGCCTTGTAACAAGCGCTTGACGTTGTCGTCAAAGTTGACGCAGAAACGTTGGGCCTGAACAATCTGCATGGCCTTGATGTGATCAACGTCGGCCAGGATTTCCATGAGATAGGCAGCAACAACAGCGGCAGAGCGTTCGTTTCCACTCTCACAGAAGACAAGCACCTTGGCATCCGGAAGAGAGTTCATGTGGTCATTGATGGCTTTTGCGGCACGGGTGAAGGAGGCGACAAGTTCGTAGGGGCTAGACATGTCGAGAGCCTTCTTCTGGATGTTGATGTCGTCGGCGACATTGAGAGCGGCCTGCATGATCTTGCTTTCGAATGAGTGGCGTTGGCGAACGGCCATGAGCAGAGTGATGCCTTCGTTCCGTAGGAAGTCTCGATCTTTGACGGCACTCATGGGACCCAGGTAGAGGAAGGGGAGGATTTGCTGTGCTTGACGACGACGCTCGTAGCTCCAGTCCAGGAGGCTGCCTGTCACCATCTTGTCGTAGTTGACGGCTGAGAGCGGACCGGACTGAGCGATGGGATGCAGATTGAACTCGGGAGCCAAGTTGATGTTTGCTGTTGGCGGTGGTACGACGATACGCGGAGGGGTAGGCAGTCGGGAAGAGTACTCGTCGCCTCGAAGAGTGGCTGCCTGGGAGGCCATGGCGCTGAACGCTGGATCAACCGTGTGCGCGTGTAGGACGGTTGGGAGTGGTATTATCTCTTAGTTATGTGGTGCATGTATTTTGTTGGCGTGGTCGGGAGGTGAATGCTCGACTCGAGAAAGTAAAGAGGTGCAACGACGTCAACCTTCAACGCCCGCCGTCATTCAGGCCTTCGCTGCTTCACTTTTACTCCTGCCTCCTTCCAACACATGCACACACCATACACCATACACGACTCGACCCCTCTTGCGTCTTGTCCCTCGTAAGTCTTCACTGCAGACCGCCAAGCTCGCCGCTCGCTCTATTTACCCACATCGTGGCGTAACCTCAGAGTGCAACTGTAAATCCCTGCCCCGCAGTCTGAACATGCTGTCTCATTCCGTCTTGTTTGTCGGAGTACGCTCTTTGGGGACTCCGCCTGCTCGTATACAAACAACAAGACTCTAAAGTGTGTTGCCCATGTGATGCCACTGCGTCGATCGATGCATGAATGAAGTCAGTAGAGTAGGTAGTCAACAGAGGCAGGTGCTTCTTTTGTCCCCGCTTCTCTTCTTGCCCAATTCGTCTTTTACTCATGCTCATCATTTCATTGTCATCTTTCCTTCTCTCATGAACTGTCCTTCTGTTCTTTTCCTCTTTCTGCGCACCTCTTCTCAAACGCCATCCATCCAATATGCTTGTCGATCTGTTCTCGCTTCTTGCTTCGCTCTCTGGCATGGCCATGGCTCAGTGCCCAGACTACCTTGACTATTCTACGCTGAAACACTCTCCATACTCGGGAGGCCTTCATAACATCTCGTACCAGCGTCCTGACCCTGCATGCCGCACATTCAACCTTTCTTCCCTAGAGGATCAAGTCCTTCCCAATATCATGCACGCCACTCCCGACCCAGATCTGTACCGCTTGTTTCTCAACGGCAAGTATCATCCGCTGTCGCTTGATCCTCATGCTGATATATTGTANGCCTATCCCAACACCCTAGACACTGCCGTTCGCTGGAAAGGCTATGCTGCCGACTCTCCCGATGAGGAGCTCACCTTTCTCGTCACCGGAGACATCGATGCTATGTGGTTGAGGGACAGTAGCAACCAGATGCAGTCTTACCTTCCTCTTCTGACCGCAAACTCCTCTGTCGACTCGCTCGCTTCACTATTCCGGGGTGTAATCAATCTCCAGGCCCGTTACCTTCTCACTTCGCCCTACTGTAATGCTTTCCAGCCTCCGATCGAGAGTGGGATTGCTCCCGCAAACAATCCCTCGGCCAGCCAAGATGTTGTCTTTCCCACTTACGACAATTCCTCGGTCTTCGAGTGCAAGTACGAGTTAGACTCCCTAGCCGCTTTCTTACAAATCAGCTCGGACTATTACAACGCCACGGGAGATATTGCTTTCTTCGCCAAGCACCACTGGGTCGAGGCCATCAACCATGTTTATCAGATTTTCGAAAGTGTTTTGTCCGCTTCGACTTATGATGCCGACGGCCGTGTCCAGAAGTCAGCCTACACCTTCACTAGAGTGAGCAACCGAGCAACAGAAACCCTAGCAAATGACGGTCTAGGTAATCCCTATTCGGGCGGAGTTGGTTTGCTGCGCTCAGCATTCAGACCTTCGGACGATGCGACCATCTTTCAATATCTCGTTCCTGCAAACATGATGCTAGCTCACTACCTTGAAGCGACCGCTCCTATCGTGCTCGCGCTCAATGATACAACGAGTGCAGTCACTTGCGGGCAGATGACACAGCTTGCCTGTACCATAAGACAAGGCATTGAAGAACATGGCATCGTCACTATCGATGGCAAGCGGGTGTACGCTTACGAAGTTGATGGATACGGCTCTGCAAACATCATGGACGATGCCAATATCCCATCGCTTCTGTCTGCACCATTCTTGGGGTATCTTGACGCTAATGACGAAGTCTATCGGAACACACGTTCACTGCTATTGAGCGGCCGCAACCCCTATTTCATGCGTGGCCCTGTTATCTCTGCTATTGGAGGTCCTCAGTAAGTAAAGAGAAGGTGGAGATAGCATGAACCAGGGCCCATCAAGTGGGGTTTAGACTGCTATCTGTCCCATGCTCAAACACAAGAAACATGCTAACTGTACCTTCACCTTAAGNNCAATGGTCCTGGTTATGCATGGCCCATGGCCTCTATCGTACGCATATTGACCAGCGACAACGATACCGAAATCACCGAACAACTCGCCATGATTCTCAACAGCACTGACGGGCTCGGTCTGATCCATGAGAGCATCAATACCTTCAACCAGACCGACTACACCCGGCCGTGGTTTAGTTGGGCGAACGGACTCTTCGGTCAAATGATCTTAGACTTGCATGATCGCAAGCCTCAGATTCTGGCACAAAGCTTCCAATAGGTGTATTTGTATCATCGTTGGTGTGCGAGACTATAAAGTCCTACGACCCTCGTTGGGGTTGTGAGGTTCGTTCGCACACGGTGAGGAAGTATTCCAAAGACACGACGTAATGCGCATGAGAGATCTTAATATGCTTGCACGATATCACGAAAGAAATGCAGTTCTAAGTTTCTCTAAACACAGGTTTCCTCATCCGAACCATGCCGGACGTTGTTTCGTAGCGAGCCGGGGTCCTTTTGAGGCCAAACCCTGCACGTATATGAATACGCAGTTTCGCGTATGGTACACGCTGTGGACCCCGACTGCTTGCCACGACACGCTGAGCCACTGTGTTAACGACAAGTCAAAACAATTTAAATACTATGTCATAGCTAGCCAATATGTACTTAAAGGCCTTTTCGGCCACAACTTCACTCTATCAAAAATCATCAACGATCATGAAAAGCATCTCAACTCTTGCAACAACTTTGGCGTTGTGCAGTCCTGGTGCTGCCTTGGTCTGCAAATCAACGCCCTTGGATTCCAATTGGCCCAATGTATCGGATTGGATGGCCTTGAACCGCACACTTGGTGGCGCTCTTCTTCAAACTCGCCCGGTTGCATCTGCATGCTATGCTAACAATCCTTTCAACTCGACTCTATCTTGCAATGACGTGGAAGACCAATGGAATTCGACTTACTTCCATGCCACACTTCCCGAATCAATCGATGCCTCGATCTGGACCAACAATTCGTGTGTCCCTCCTGGAGCAGATGGACATGTCGAAGGCAGTTCTTGCACTCTTGGGGCTTATCCAGCATACATCGTCAATGGCACCTCGAACGAGATCATATCAAAAGCGATGCGTTGGGCCTCGCGTCGCAACATCCGCATCATTGTCAAGGGAACTGGTCATGATCTCGATGGCCGGTAAGTGTTTCAGGTATTCTTTCTGGTCACAGCAGCTAATCTAATGTAAAGCTCCACTGGCGCCCATAGTCTTTCCATCTGGACCCATCATCTCAACCACATCAAGTTCGATTCCGATTGGAATGGTACCGAAGACGTTGCCATTGTCGGTAGCGGGCAGCAATGGGGCAATGTCTATGATGCAGCAGCAAAGCTCGGAAAAGTGGTAATTGGCGGCGCAGAAGGTAGCGTGGGCCTTGGTGGACATATCCAGGGTGGAGGTTACGGACCCCGGTCATCGACCTATGGCCTCGCTCCTGATCAGGTCCTTCAAGTCAACATTGTGACTACAGAAGGAGATATCCTCGTCGCTAATGATACTACCCATCAAGACCTCTTTTGGGCGGTTCGTGGCGGCGGTGGTGGTAGTTATGGTGTTGTCACTGAGTATGTTCTCAAGGCTTACCCAGCTCCTGCCAACTCTGTTGCCGGAACACTGTCAATCAGCGGTGGCAACAACGCTACTGGCAACATCACGTGGGATGCTTTTGGTGTTCTCCTTAACCACATACCTGGGCTCATGGATAAAGGCCTTTGGGGCAACGTCATTGCCTTTGGTCAAACACCAGGCGAGGTCTCTCTGACTGCTCAACTTTCAGCCTACAACAGTACTGCATCTCGAGTCACTGCTTGGGTCGAACCCATCATTGCAGCAATCCGAAACACAACCGGGAACAGCAACTCTAGTCTCGCCATAATCTGGAGCGACCCCGTCGTTTCTCCTTTCGACAGAAACACCAGCTCCAAAACTGCTTCAAACACCGCCGGATCCGGTGGCCTCGAGACCAGCCGCCTCCTCGGTCTTGCTCAACTCTCTCTTCCTTACAAGCAACTCTCGTCGTACCTCCGCCGCATTATGTGGACAGAACCCGGAAGCGGCAGTGCCATGTTAATTCTCGGTCTCATGGCCGGCCCCGGCGTCCAAAACACTCCTCTGCAACGTCAAGGTGCCGTAAACCCCATCTGGCGCAAGACCTACGTCCACGCAATCTCTGGCTCTGCTCCTGCATCCAACGACACAGCTACATCAGCCCAGATGATCAAACAATCCGCCGAGTGGTACGAGATTCACAGAGAAGCCGTGTGGCGCGAGTGGGCTCCAAACATGGGTGCCTATATGAATGAAGCAAACCCTTACAACTCCAGTTGGAAGCACGATTTCTTTGGATCAAATTACGATAGACTGGCCGCTATCAAGAGAAAGTACGATCCTACAGAGTCGTTGTATGCCGTGTCGAGAGTTGGTGCCGAATGGTGGGACTACGACTTGCAGACCGGCAAGCTGTGCAGAGTCGAGTAAAGAGAATCGATCATCCAAGAACGCGAATAGGAAGGCAAGAGATCGCAGGTGGGAAGCCGCGATCAATATTGATGCGTGCGAGAAATCTTCGGGGAGAGGATGTTATGAGAATAAGAAGAGCAGTCTTACGAGTAGTCCTCTGTTGAATTTCAAGATGAAGCGGGACAAAAGCACATCTCGTTTGTGGTGAGCGGATCGGTTCGTTTCTTCATATTTAACGTATATGTCTGTATGATTCAAACTTTTTTGGTCGGGTAGAAGGCTCAGATAACAAGATACTCGCCATCAACCCTGTCCATAGCCTTTCTCCATCTGAACGCTTGTATACGATCTCCATTCTCCTTAGCACTGTCTCGTCGGCGTTGCACCTCGTCAGAGTCTGCATCCTGCACATCTTGAGTGTCGTTCTCAGCCCACACTTTCTCGAGGACGTCTAGAACGGAAATGTTGTTGAAGAAGCCGCTCTCGATCTGTACCTCTATGCACCTGTCGCGTACGAGTGCTTGATCAGCTGCATCGACACACTCCGTTCCTGAGACAAACAAGGGCCAGAGCAAGAATTTATTGACACATGATGTGATTTCCAGTGCAGCTATGTGCGAAAGAGCGTTGCGAACATGTGCCTGGAATTTTGGAGATGATGACGGCAGGAATGGGTGGGCGAGACGCTCAGTGTACAGCAAAGCTGATGAACGGAAAGACTCGTTAATGTGCGTCAGGTCCCTTTGTCCAGGCTCAAGCGATGCTGCTGACGATTCGAGAGCTGTAGGCGATAAACAAGGGCTATCCATGGACCATGTTTCTAGCCGAGATCGAATGTCATGCCACTCTTTCCAGAACTCTTGTCGGGTGTCCGAAGGTTCTCTGTAGACTGTGTCAAAGTCTTCCTGAGGCTCGGCTAGCAAGGCACCCCAACCATTGCCATCAAGTCGGCTAAAATCAACCGGTTCAACCTGCGATCGTGGGCGACGACCTCTTTGACCGGAGAAAGCATTTGGATCCCTCGATTTTGGTGTTGAAGTAGCGCCATAGGATGCTCTCGAGTTTCGAGGATCCGGACGTACAGGACGGTTCTGTGACAGAAGGTTCAAGCGCCCGAGACGCGCAATCAATTTGAACAGACGACCATCACATCCCGAGAACTGCTCCAGAGCGCCAAGGTTGGAGGAAAAGTGGAGCATATCCAGACGGTCGCCCTGAATCTCGGTCTCTCTGTCATTCACAGTTGAGGTCATGACATCAAACCAGGCGAAGAACATCTCGACCCAACCGATAAAGCCAGTCCTAACACCTGGATCGCGCATAGTAAGCAATCTTTGCACTCCCTCAAGTTGTGTCTTAAACTTGGAAAAGCCACTATCGCAGACGTGGAACAGACACAGAATGAGCAATATAGCGAGGACCGAATCGTCTTGGGCGTTAGCCGCATCGGCCAACTGAGCCTGCAATTGACCAATCGATACACTTTTGTAGTAACTTTCCTCGGGCGACGGCCGAGCTAGGATGCTGTTGTCGTTATCCTGCTGCTTGTTGTCCAGCTCTTCGATGAAGCCTCTTGGAGGGGCTCTCTTGTGTAGTCGCATTCGCATGTTGTTTAACGAAAGGGCTGCAAGAGCATTTTGAAGACCTTGGTTATGAGTGGCGAGCTGAAGAATGTGCATCCTATATGGATTGATAGTATCGTCGAATGCAACTAGAACGGAGCAGATATGTTTGTCATAATAGTCCAACAGATATTGCATCCTTGGCGACAGATGGTAGAACAAGGAGGTTGCCATGGCCCTCGGGATAGACATAGCTAGCTCTGGTAGTGTGCTTGAAGGTTGCCGAGGGTCAGCCAAAGCTAGATCGAGGCTGTTGTAATCGAAGGAATCAGACTGTATGGCTTGATTGTAATCTGCACCATTCACCTCGTATCCAGGCTCGAAGAAGGAGGTATCTTGATCTTGAGAAAATTTGGTTTCTTCGGCGACACCAGATACTTCTAGAGGAGGATCGGGATAGAACGATGATGGTGGTGCATAGGAGTCAGAGTAAGATCGAGGCGATGGCTCCACAAGGCTGTAATTAGCAGAAGACTGCAAGCCATCGTTGTAGGATAATGAGACTGGCGTCAAAGGATACTCGGATGGGTTTCTCTGATGAAGTAGATGGGCATTGTCAAATGGAGAGGTTGGCGACGGAAGTTCGGGATTTGCATATTGTTGCAAAGGTTGCCAGAAGACGGGCTGTTGAGGGTCGAGTGGTGATAGCAGGCCGTAGGACGGAGTGTATAGGGGCTCTTGAGAGGGAGGTGACACAGCATTGGTGCTTATATTTATACGTGGGGGTACAGCCTTCCCCGAGGCAGGCGCGGTCGTGGACGGCTTCCTTCGAGGTTGCGATAGACTATTTCGCTTGGTGACACCAACCGGGCCATCGGTCTTTTCCGCCACAGGACATGTCAAGCCTCGCAGCTTTCCTCGACTGGCGATACCCACGCCCCATGTCAGCGTCGTCTTGTATCCAGAGCAATCTTTTCCTATTTCGAGACACTGTCCACAGTACGGTCTCCTGCGATCACATGGGGCGTTCCGTTTCTGGCACGTAAAGCAATCGTCGGCCGCGCCTGTAGTTGTTGTTCTCCTCCGGCGTTTCCTGATAGTGGGCTTAGTCTCCAGAGCAAAGTCAGCCTCTGGCTTGATACAAGCCGTGGTCATGACGGCAGAGTATATAGAGTATGGGCAGAGTGAGTCGTCAAGTCGTCTTGGTCGAACGTCGTATGTAGTCACAGCCACTCAGATGTCGACTACGTCAAGTGTATATGATTCGTGAAGGGTAGGGACTGGCGTCTGGACAACGATGTCGTCTAGGAAGGGGCAAAATGTTATGTTTGAACAAGAAGGGTAAGTTCTCGAGGTTCAAGGTTACTTGCGGAGACTTTTGATTCACGCGACATTGTAGAGGATGGGACATATTGGCTTTGGATCTAGGGACATGTCTGAGCCGAGGCTTGAGTACGGGCGGGCGACCCTTGAACGATAAGCCCGCCAATGAGAGGCACAGCGAGCCATCTTATCGTTGCTTGACCAGGTCCGTCCGTATCTTCGCCATGCCCTGTTCAAATTGTCGATTGTTCTACGCGGTTTCTTTTGCTGNNCAACACTCCTTGCTCATCTCGCGAGAAGCCTCTGACCGAAGTCCGCAGGATGATATTGTCTCCCGCCTCGAAACCCAGNCCAGTCTCTTTGGTTTCGCTTTCATTAGTCATTGCACTGAGCAACATGTTCACTTACGCGAGGTCTCCATGCATTGACCCCGCAATGATGGAAGCCTTGGGCAGGGTCGCAACGGCTCAAAGCACACAGGCCTCTAGCACCTCATCTTTCTCCGCATGAGCATCATCTCTTTGACGAGGCGCCNNGGGACAGTCCTTTATCTGTGCCCTTGGCCAGGCACATCCGCCTAAATGTCTCCATCTCNNGGTGAAGTGCCTGAACCTTTCGCTGATTTTACCCAGCCGCTCGCAACCGACGTTGATCTTCGAGACACAGGGTTTGGTTNNGGGCCAAAGTCTCTACAAACATAATTGTTCCGTGCCCTGATTANNGATTCGCCGAGTTCAACAGTTGGTTCATCCTTTGGCAAGGGTCCGAGTTCTTCTTACATGTGAATATAGTGAAGCTTGTTGTTCACCATCGAGAATGACGAGCTTGTACAGAGACGCACGCCTTGCTACGGTCTTGACTGACACCTGTGCTTCGCAAAGCAATAAACCCTTAGAGAGCCACAAAGCGGTAAGACCGGAGACGGGCCATTTGCTTTCACACTCCAGCTGCTCGGAACGCAGTCGGTGCTGTTGGATTTCTCATCGAAATGTGTATCGTTAATATGCACCCCTCTTCTGACGGCTACAGCTGCAAGCCCAACCGATAGTTGGCTACCAACAGCATCGCTTTCGACGACAATGACCGCCGTACAACGATAACGTGGCGTTTCCATCTCTCTGTCTGTTGCATCGAAGAGGAGAGCGACAACGACAAAGAAAGCCAACAGCATGCAACTCGCACGGCACAGAACCGCTCACGATACAACGAGCTTTTGGTGAAGTCAGGATATTATAAGAGGAGCTCTGCAACATGAGAGTATGAAACTGTCAGCCCTGATCGTTCTCCTTTGATCCCGTCATAAAGCAATATCGAACGCAATCTTCTTAACCATGAGTGCCGGCCAAGGAGGCTTCTTCAAACACCAATGCACATATTTCCACATCTGTGGTCGTTGGACGACTCAAGCACATGATGCTTGTGGAAATTGTTTGTCCGAGGGTAGAAAGTCCCCACGAGAACCAGGCGGTCCTGCGATACGGACAGCCGCTGGAAAGGTAAGCATGTCGCGATAACTGGCAATATAGCATTGATCCAGTGCATAGAAGTCTTCCAGTCAGACTCCGTAATGAGCAGATTGGTTCTACGCTATTGCACCTTGGATTCGAGCAGGAGAATGGTGAAAGGAAGGGAGCAACAATGTTATCGATGGATGCAGATGAGCATTAAAGCGGTGAGACGGAGACTTGATGTTAATGTCTACATCAACGGAGCATATCAAGCCATCAAGTCGGTCGATGTACAGATGAGTCCCTGAAAGATTCCTGTACTCAAAGATCTTTGTATTTTCTTTTGCGTTGTCCTGATAGACTATCTTCTCAAGCTCGCATAAATCCCGCAGCCATGCAAGGCTGTAAAACCCAATTCAGTAAGAACAACTTTGATACGCACCTTTTATCAGTAGTGGATACTGGTTGCTTGTATAGTCTGACATCACAGCTATGGGCAGTTGTCGAGGAATACGCGTATCGACAATGGATGATCGTTGTGATTATTGACAATGTCAATGCAGGCCGCAGTCATACCGTGTCTACTAGAACTCAGGCTCATCCGCGGTCCCCCGCAACCGAGTGGCGTGACGAACAACTATCCTGAGTTGGCGTTGGCGGCGTCGACAGTCGAGACCTGCTAGCA